ACCACACAGCGCGTTTTCTGGAATGTCGCGGAGTATTATCGTGGGTTGGGTCTGACTCAATTGGAAAGGTAAGTGGATTAGCTTACACCAACTTAAACTCTGACAGAGGTAGATTAATACGAAAAGCAAGATATGAAGATATATGATATAGAATATGTAGAATGTAGAATATATATAGTAATTGCCAATAGATAAGGAGTTTGTTTAAGACATCTGTAGAGTTGCTTTTTTTTAATAGAGCCCCAATTACAGGTTATGATATTGCTCGACTCCGAAAAGTTTGAGACACTTTTTTGCCTAGAAATAGTTACATAGACTCAGTTCTGCAAGCCAATAATATATACTCTAATAATATCGCCTTCAATTTGTTTCACGCCCCATAAAAAAAAAATTATAATAGGCAAGATAACTAATTCGAAGACCAACTTCATATAATTATTGTTAAAGCTTCCATAACGTATTTGTTTTAAAATGGTCATCGCTCTTCTATGCGATTTTCATAAAGTCAAATAGAACCAGTTGGTTCTGTTGTGTTTTAGTTCAGTCTTTAAAAGTGAGTATGTCGAAATCGGCCGAATTATACCCTTATTTAGCAAAACTGAACAGCTGACGCTTCAAAATATGCTTTCTCCTTTTAGTTCCCTTTGGACCTACGCAGAGCCTGTGGCCAGCCACAACGAGGACAGCTGCTGGCACAAGGCGTGGCGATTTCACACGCTGTCCACGAATAACTTCAGCTACTGCCCGCTAGCCGATGAGGAGCGCTTTTTCAATATGTTTGAGGCACAGTTTGAGCTGCATTATTTCCGTGCCTCCGCAGCGCAACCGACGCTGTTGCGCGAAGAGCCGTTTCCCAATTTTCGGGATGCGCTGGGCAAATCTTTCGCTCTGGCCGCCGCTTCCCCGCGCTATCTGCGCAAGCTAGGCCTGCTGCGGGATGCGGAGTGGAGCGGCCTGCCTGCTCGCCTGAATCGACTGTATTTGCAGGGTTTGCGTGTGGTTTTTCTACTACCCGTTTTCTATGTGCTGGATCGCTATCGGGTGGAGGTGCTCAGCGGCCACATCAAGGCGGACGACAATGAAGCCTATTGGCGGCTCACGGAGCGATATACAGGCGCTGCGCCGCCGCGCAGACGCACCAACGAACACTTCGATGTGCCCGCCAAGCTGCTGTTGGAGGTGGATGATCAATATACCAGGTAGGTGCAACTATTGGGAAGGGTAGGGGACTTTTCGTTTAGTTGGTCTTCCCATATTTTTCTTGACTTCCTTCGCTATTTCTCTAGTTCTTCTGCTATACGATCAGAACTTGTTTATTTTAATAAATCGATAACACTCTGAATTTCGAATATCGATAAAAATCAATATTCAGCATAGGTTATTTTTAACGATTCTTGAGGTTATTTATGACAATCAATTGGAAAGGCTAGGAGACTTTTCCTTTAGTTGGTCAATATTAACTAGATCCAATATTTTTCCCTACTTCCTTCGCTATTTCTGTAGTTCTTCTGCTATACGATAAGAAGTTGTTTAATTTATTTAATCGATAACTACCCGAATTTCGACAATCGATAAAAATCAATATTCAGCCTGGGTTATTTTCAACGAATCTTGAGGTTGTTTATAAGAATCGAATTATTAATACAAAAGTTATTTATAAATAAAATATTCGTTTAAAAGCTCGAACCGTAATGGTCTATTTATGAAAGACTTAACAGTATCTTGTTTAATTTTGGGTTTTTTCTTTACAGCCAATTCTTCAGCACCGTGCTGCAGTTTCAGCTCTATAAATACTTCTGCAGCAGCACCGGTCAGTATGTGGAGGACTCTGCAGATAAACCTTTGGATCTGTGCGACCTTTCTGATCAGCGTGAGATAGGATCCATGCTAAAGCACGCCATGCCCTTGGGCTCGTCGCTACACCACAAAGAGGTGCTGCAGCAGCTGCTGGGCACTGGCGAACTGAGCATGGATGGACTCCTGACCTATTTTAAGCCTCTGCAGGATTGGCTGACACAGCAAAATCGTGAGAATGGTTTGGAAGTGGGTTGGCTACCAAATTAATGTATGCCTAAAAGTATGCCCTGGTTTTGGTGAGATGAAAAAGTATGCAGTAAGAAAGTGTTTGAGTTTGACCTCGGATCGGATCTTGTGACGCGAGCCATGACCTAAGCCTTAATAAAAATCTGCAAACCTTGGCCATAACATCAAGTTCTCTTTACCCCAACTATTTATCTTTCGAAATGAACTATTTATAATTAAGAAAATATAAAAGTAAATTTCTACAGATATTTAAATGTTTTCCAATTTAAATTTACCTAAGACCTTATTTTCCTTTAAAACTAGAGATCCAGTCCGACTAAAATCAGATCTTTAGATAAACGATATAGATAACCAAAGATCTTGTGGTCTCCATAACAGGCCACATTAGATCCGAAGCTTTTTAGAAAGATTTTAACATAACTCAGAACATTTGATTTACTTATGTATATGTACCTCACTTGAATATACTTAATTAACTTGAAAGTAAATTAAGTTTAGCTTATAAATAATGCAATTAATTTGTGCATTAAGAGCAGCAAACGCTTTGTGCATAAAAAAAAACTGACAGAAATACCGGAAAGAATCTAAAAAACAAGTGAAACAAAAAAAACCCATAAGCGCGGGACTATAATTAAAATGCAATCCATTATGATGACTACCCGGACAGCTGATATTTAGAATAAAGTAAATAGTTAAAATAAATTGCTAGTTTAAAGATTATTCATACATATGCATAGTTCAATTAGTTACAGACACCTTAATGATAATTATTTTCCCACGGTTGCATTGGGTTGTCTCTAGAACTCTAGAGCTTATACTTTATAAGAGTACACGAAGTACTTTAGACATGACCTTGACTTAGAGTACTCCAAAATAAATAACAAAAGTGTTCTAGCGAATGTGCTTGACTAGGCGATACCCTGTAGTCAGATCTGTTCTGGTCGGCCACTTCTGACTTTTTGGGCACTAAGGTGGAATTTAAATGTTTGTATCAGTAAATCAGCTTGGGTATTTATCGATTTCCGGGCTGCAGAGAGAGTTATCGATAATTTGAAATAACCGAACTACATGTTCTCTTAAAGAGACTACATTCCCCCCTGTCTGTTACCAATATCAGCCATATACCCTTTACTACTTTTTTTAGATCTGTTTTCGACCTCAAATACATTAGCCCAAACCACAACTCAGAGCTAGCGCACATTTTTATGAGCTCATATCCGTAGAAGGAAACGTGAGACGCAGCGAACCCAATCCCGAACTAATTACACTATGATTCATATATGCATATGTATGCATGTGTAGCTTACCTGTATAGGTATGTATTTGTATGCCAGTGGGGCAATCAAGGCATCAATCAGTCTTACTCATGTGTCCCCTCCAGTTAGCAACTTATGTTTAGTACTCTCTTCTCGCCTTATCTTCGCAATTGATCTTCGCTGTATTCATTAATTACACCCCCCCGCCCCGACGCTTGATGAGTCAAGACTTTGTTTACATGCGGCTAGGTCAAGAGTGACATTCCTCGGGCGGGTGCTGTGCTGGCAATTAGCATTGCAGTTAAACGCATGCGGCGACGCTGACTGCGGTTTTGGCGTCACTAACCGCGACGTTAACGACGACTGCGACTGCGACCGCGAACGTATAAACAATTTTTAACAATAAATTGAATGCATTTTGTTATTTTATGCTTTGCTGTTTTTTATGTTATGCTTTTATGATTTATATTATCGTCAATTGTCAATAGAAAGGTAAATGTGCATGACGAAATGTTCCTTGAAGCCAATGGGGAAGCTTGGTCACATTAATCCATTGATATGCTATTGGTAATGGTTATCGATGCTCGATAAATGCAATTGTCTTTCCCAGAAGCTTCTTTGTGGTTGGTGTTGTTTATGTAGTGTAATTCGGTCACACTTGTGTGAAAAATGGCGCCAGTTTTTTATGCGCCAGTTTTTTTTTGTAAAATTTCAGTAAATGTATTATTAATTTGGCGAAAAGTGTTTAAATAGCCATATAAAGAGATAGTATATTCAAAAGAAGTGTGAACATTAAGGTTTGTACTATATACCGATTGCTGCTCAATCTACACCAACTACTGAGTGAGCATTGCATTGGCAGCCGCTCAAAATAAGCGACTCATTCATTTTATAACCTGAGCACTTTCTCACACTCGCTATAATTATGCGGTTAAACCTTTTTTTGACTGATTAGTACTCGCATGTACATGCATACTCGTACATCGCACCCTCACCCTCCCTTATAATTGCAAACATGCATGCAAAAACATCTACATACAACTTACATACACTCACACATGCATACATACTCACTTGTTACCCATTGTTGTTCCCAAGCTTATGGCTGATTTGATGGTTGTTGTTGTTGTCGTTAACAACAACGTCGACAGCGACGTCAACGCTCAGTCAGTCGCAATGCTAATTGCGTTTATCTCACACAACATTTAGAAACATCGCGGGTTGCGGCGACAGCGCCGCCGACTGCGACGCTGATTGCAACTGCGACGTCGCTTCGCTGAAATTTAAATTCATTTTCGAGTCACAAACAAAAAACAAAAATAAAAATTATAAAAAGTCACAAAGTAATTTCGAAAAAAATTCTTACACTCAAGTCAGTAGAGTTTTAGACGCGTTACGTGACGTTACGTGGGTGGACGGGCTCTGAAAATTTCTAAAAAACGGAAAGTGACCTGAAATGAAAATATGTGTGAAAATATAAAATATTGTGCGAATTAAAAGCGAAGCTCATAAATTATATTGTGATCTTCCCTCGAAAGTTCACTTCAAGTGAAGCTCTTTTACCATAATCTAATATCATATTCTCTTAAAGATCTGATGTGAATAACCATTATATAACCTGTGCTGATTGAGGAAAATTTTAAAAATCAGTTCTTTTAAATATAATAAAAATATTAAAAATAAAAATAAGTCCGAAAAGTTTTTGCGTTCTTCGCGTGATTAGTAAACATCTTAAAAAATATTTAAGAATCCCAAACAAAAGTCACTTCTATCCGTGCGGTTTCTCAAAGTCGAGATACTTCCTCGAGTGATCGGTAAAAACCAAACAGCATTTCGAAAACCCTCTTACTCGAACCTGAATTTTTAATTTTGTCTATGCATTAGATTCTTTGCGTGTTCAGCTTCTTCATATAGCCTGTGATCGTTTGCCCTATTTGAGCGTTAAAAATAATGTCATAAAGCTGTAATTAAAATTGTAAATTGCTTGTGAAAGATTTAATTAGCGGTGCGCGCTGACCTTGAGAGTGTTAAATATATAGATTTCGTTGCATGATAAACGAATATGTGGAATTGTCTTTTTTTTATATGCTCCACGCTATGGAGCCTGAGTCGTGCTAATCCACAACTTAATTTGCCTACACCACAGCCGGAGATCTTCTACAATGGCTACACGCCCAATGTGGCCACAACTCCCGCCCAGCTAAGAGCAGATCACGATCGTAGCCAGCGCTTTGGGCCGCCCTATATGGATGATGGGGCTGGAGGCAGCGGCAGCAATAGCGATGATGGACTGGACGACTTTAGGGTGAGTTTTATTTATATGTATATGTAAACCTAATGACTAACTGATTGACTAACTTCCTTTCCCGAAGAACGCTGGGTAAGGCTTGTAAGTCTTGAATTAAATAACATACTCTGACGATCTCATTTGCAGTATGGTCAGACCTATGATGAGCGCATGCGACTGGGTTACGCCTATCCCACACCCCGACTGAATTTTAGTGATCGCGCCGATGATTCACCCTTCAGTGGGGATCAAAATCCCAGTCGTGGCCAAGATAATCGTTATGCGAATCACAATTATGGACCAACATCTAGCAGCACCGAACGCAACTATGGCAATTTTAATGATCCGCCCAACAATATTAATCAGAATAATGCACCTTACGCGGGAGTGAATCCCAGCTACAACAATCGAAACGATCAATATAACTACAATAACAATCCCAATGTGGAATTTGTGGGGGTTAACAATCGCAATCGATTTGAGAACCCCTATCTATCGAATCAGGATCGATTTAATCTCAACCAGGGCTATCTGGAGCGTCAGCGCTATCAACAGGATCGTCGCTATCAGCAGGAGCTGGAGAAGTTACGCAATTTGCTGGTCGAAACGGATCAGAAGGGTTCGCTCGAGTGCACCGCCAATGTGGCGGCCCAATGGAATTTCGAGACAAACGTAAACGATTTTACACAAACGGAAGCGGTGAGTTGGCAGTGGGGTATATACGTACATAGACATACCCTTGAAATTGTAATTGTATTTGAAATTGTGCTGTAGCAGCACGCGATCTCACTGTGTAGTATTCACATCAGCTAGAGATTGACGTCTATGCCACTTGGCAATTTTCTTGGCGTGGCAAATAGACACAACATGTACAATACACACACATGAGGCACACACAACATAGTCAAGGTCGTTTGCCTGTCGGAGTTCTCAGGCAGACATGCCAATGTCAAAGTGTTGCACTCTTGAGAGTTTTGCACCTTGTTGTTGGGCCAAAACTGAACGTGCTTAAAGTAAATATAATTTTTAGTTATACTAAAATATATGCTTCTTGTGTGATAAGGTCTGGTTCGAGAATAATCGTTATGCCCTTGGGAATGCGATAATTTCGGCACAACAAAAGACATCTCCGATCTCATTAGATATACAAATATATCTTGATCCTGTATCAACAGCCGATATGCGAGTCGATATAGGCAAGTCCTGCCCTTCTAATCAATTTTCACTTGTTTTCTAAATTGGCTAAAACTCCAATTCGTGGTTTTGAGACGTTTTTTTGCTCAATTATTTTGTAAGATCTGAAAGTTGATTCATAAAAAATAACAATACAATAGAATTCTTTCCGATCAGTTTCTTTATATTATCTTCTTTTTTTTATATTTAAATTAAACATATATTATATTATATATATATTAAACATATATTAAACAGTCGTGATCTTTATATCGTATTTGGTTTTTTTTCTATATTTAGTATTATAAAGCCCAACAATATTCAACTTTTTAAACTAGTTTATGTGCATTTGCTAAGAAATATTTTCTCTTTACAGCTAAATGCCCAGCAACGTTATGTGGAGTATCAGCGCATAACAGCCGAACAATCGAAGCATATTAACAAGGATCTCATATTTGATCGACGTTTATATAGACAGCTGATGTTGCAATCTGAAGTGGGACCCAATTCCTTACCCCTGGATGTTTTGGACAGAGTAAGTTTGCTCCATATGAACTTCATATCGTCATTTAATTATCCTTTGGTTGTAGTATAATCGCTTGTTGAACGAAATGCTATTCTTGTATAACGATGCCAGCATTTGCGCCTATCAGCAGCCTTTTCAATGTGATTTGCGCTATATACCCCATCTCAAGGATATTATGGCCAAGAGCAGAGATTGGGATGAGTTGCAGCATACTTGGGTGGAGTATCATCGCAAAGCGGGGCGGGGCATGCGCGATAACTACGAGCAATTGATTGACGTCATGCAGGATGTAGCCTCAGTAAACAGTGAGTGAAGTGAATATATATATACATATCTGTATGGAGATATATCTATTGATTTACAGATGTTACCAATGGCGGGGAGTATTGGTTTTTGGCCTATGAATCAGGAAACTTTCGCCAGGATATGGACATTGTGTGGGAGCAGATACGTCCGCTGTACGAAAGCCTGCACTCATATGTGCGCCGCAAGCTGCGAGATTATTATGGACCAGATCGCATTAACCGCATTGCGCCCATACCCTCCCATATATTGGGCAACATGTACGGACAGTCCTGGTCGAATGTGCTGGACATACTTATACCCTATCCGGGTCGCAAGCTGATTGATGTTACACCGCGCATGGTGGAACAGGGCTATACGCCGCTGCTAATGTTTCAGTTGGCCGAGGAGTTCTTTACCTCAATTAATATGTCCGCCGTGGGACCGGATTTCTATAGAAATTCGGTGTTTGAGCAGCCGCTGGATAGGCGCATCCTCTGCGAGCCATCCGCCTGGGATTTTTGCAATCGTCACGATTACCGTGTGAAAATCTGCACGGACATCAATCAACGCAGTCTGGTTAGCGTGCATCATGAGATGGCGCACATTCAATACTTTCTGCAATATCGCCATTTACCCAAGATCTTTCGTAATGGTGCCAATCCAGCTTTTCATCAAGCAGTGGGCGATGCAATTGGCCTGTCCGTCTCCACACCAAAGCATTTACAGACTTTGGGACTACTGCAGCGATCACTGGATGAGTCGAGCTATGATATTAACTATTTGTTTACCATGGCTATTGATAAGGTGAGTGCATGATTCAGTGTAAATGAATAGATATTTACATTGTATACTTTACAGGTTGCCTTTTTGCCCTTTGCCTTGGCTTTGGATAACTGGCGTTACGACGTCTTCAGCGGCAATGCCAATAAGAGAGTTATGAATTGTCACTACTGGAATTTGCGGTAAATCTGAGTTTAATTAATTTATTTAATCACTAACTAAATATTTGTTTTTACAGTGAAAAGTATTCTGGTATTAAGCCACCTGTCTTACGATCGGAAAAGGACTTTGATGTTGGCGCAAAATATCATATACCGGCAAATATACCCTATATTAAGTGAGTTGTGCTTTTTTTTATATTATGTATAATGGAGAACAGTTAATTCATTTAAAGCATATTTGTCGAAATAATGGTCATAAGTGTTTTGTAACACTAAGGCTATTCTTAAATGCCATTTATTCAATTTTAATTTATTTAATTTCTCATCTTGAATTTACAACTTGGTTAGTTAAAATACCCTCTTTACCTTTATACCTATATTTAAGTAAAGCCTGCTGAAAAATAGCTATAAATGCTAAACAAAGCGTTTTATCGCAATGTGGCCTAAAATTTGTTATCAAAGTAATTCACAAATATTTTTATTTAAGAGGCCAACTTATTATAATTATTAATGCAATCAATGGCCTCTGCTTAGACCTCACAAAAATCATATCCTTGCTTAGGCTGTTCAGTAATAATGGTTATCTTTGTCTTTTGTGTTTAAAACTTTTCTCAAGCAGCTTCTTTTATTTTCCCACGCTTATTTTAAATGCTTATTTAAATGCATTCTCTAATTTTCATTGAATCTCGTGTCTTGCAATTTCTTCAAATGACATCCGGAAAAGCTAAACTAAACGACGAATCGCATACGCATATGCCTTTATCCCCTCGTTCCCGCATTTGAGCCATATTGATTACATGTTGCATTACCTCACGATATGTTTCTCTTATCTAATGTGCCACATAACGCAAATGCAGCAATTAAAACTCAAGCAAACAAAAGCTTGTTATTAATTTTGCTATTTTCGATTACAATTTACACACACACACACACAAACAAACACACACATTCGCACTCGCTCAACGTTTCAAATATTTTCCGTCAATTTGGCGTCGATTACGCGTCGCAATATTCGGATCGCCAAGACGTTGCAGCCCGCAATCCGCAATCCGCAACCCGTAAACCGGCAACAGGCCACAAGTTGGCCCACTGACTGGCTTATAATGACCAATCCAGTAGACGGAACGGCCACAGACACACATTTGCACACACATTTTATTGGCTGGTTGGGGCGATGGGGGATGGGAAAGTAAGAAAAACTCGCATGTCGACGAATATTTCCCGCATTCACTTTCCACATGGCTGCTGCCAAAAGCGACTCTGGCTTAGCGTCGGCTCTGACATCATTTAAATAAGCCACAAATAGAAAATGTTACGAAAAAAAATAAACCACATATCACACCAAATGCTGGCTATACGCAAGCCCGTTTGACTGTCTGGCTAACTGACCCATTAAACGACAGAAAATAAGCTCATTTTTCCTGCGCATGCAAATGCAAATTTCTGTGCCACAAAAGCGAAACGCCGCGTGGTGCAATAGATGCCACCACCACCACAACCACCCGAGAAAATGGCGGTGTCAATGCCTACCCATTTGAGCTGACCATGCTGGGGCAATGTTTTTTTTTTTATGATTTTTGTTTTCGCTTGTTGTCTTTTGGTCTTTTATTGGACGCCTATTAAAATGTAAGACATGGCGTTGAGTATTATGACAACCACAGTGGTGCCATGTTGCATAAGTTTCTTTTTGGCTAACCAACATGGTTAGCGGTTTCTTTTGGCATTATTTGAGGTTCTTTCAAGGTGTAGTGCAAGCTATTGGGAAATATTTGTTATATGTGGGACGAGTTGTCTAACAGAGCTAGTCCATAGTGCAACTGGAAAACGAGGGCTTTGGGTTCATATTTCAGAATGTTGTAATATCTGATTATCATATGATTTAATTAATAATAACAAAATTTTTGTCACAATCTGCTTTTAGTAACTTGTTTTAGTTAAGCTATTGTTTTACTGACTGTAGTTTGTTTGCTGCTTATAATTCCCAATGTGTTAAAGCTTCGAAATAAGGACAAAGGCTTGCCAAGCTAAGGTCGGCAGTAAAATCTACTGATAGAAGCAGGAGGTACTTCAAGTATATATTCAAAGGAACCTTCTCACTTTTGGTGTTTATATCTTCTTGGTATTCAAATTAATGTATTTTTCTATACATTTAATCTTAGTTAACTAAAGATTCGATTCAGAGAACGTCTTGACGTTCTTTAAGTATGCCTTATTTTCCACATAAGCCGCTGTTTTTTCAATTTTAATAAAACATTGGGATATTTATTTATTAATGTTAATTAATTTTCAATATTCAGGCACACACTCCTATTAGCATCTAAAAATAAATGCGGCTATTTTCTGGCCAATTGATCAAACCAAAATGTCTTTAAAAACCAGCTAGCAGCTACATTTTTAGATCTTTTATTTAGATTTCCACTTTCATTTGAGCCCGCCCAGAGGTTACTGAAAAAACCCATTAGCCAGATTTTATGGCTTGCTATTCTATTGAAGAGAGATTACAACACAACGTCAGCAGCAGCAGCAGCTCTGGCTATTGTATGTTGATTATTTATTGCATAATCCATAAACTGCAAATGCTACAGTTAGAGTTACAGTTACATAAACAAACGCTACCAGAAATCAACTAACCACCAAGAGAGTTAGCCTCAATATGGTAATAAAACAGTGCCAAAGTCGAGAGTCAGGCAAAGGCACACAGGCGCAGCCGCAGCCGCAGCTAAAGTCTCAGATCTCTGAACAGTTTTCATTTCGTTTCACAACACGTTTTGCATGTGCTTTTGCCTCAAATATCGGTTAGGAGCACATGTCCTACAAACCGACTAAGGAAAACGTGATAAATCTATGCCCCACTTAGTTGACTGAAATTGCAGCATGGCTTCAATGAAGCCGAAATGCAAATTGAAACCTAATCTTCATACACAACCCGCCAACACAGCCGAGCCGAAGTCGGTCAAAAGCTTGAGAATTCCAATTAAAGTGGGAGACAAGCGAATACTCTGTAAAATCGGCTTTAATATAACCTCACACATATTTGGCGTAATTTTGCATTTAACTTTATTGAAATTCCAATTCTGCGCCCCATCTTTATAACCTCTATAACTTTTGTTTTTTGAAGCGATTCTAACGAAATTTTGGCAATAGTTCGATCAGATAATAAAGAACACCCTAGTCAAATTTCAAGACTTTAATTTGTAAATTCTGTTTTGACTCGGACTAATTTGCGAGCATGTTTGCAAAAACTTAGTAAAATATTTAACTACATTTTATTTGTCTAAATATGCAGCTGGTTGAATATTAAAGAATACACAATATTCGATGGCGATTGAATATTGTAAATTTGTATATACCCACTTAGTATATGGTACAGGGTATAACAACTAACAACCACACCAACCACAAACCGGCGCTGCTAATAAAAAGTAATGCCAGGCCGCAAAATAAACGCTAGGAAATGGACGCGAGTGCCGTCAGCAAGTTGTCGTTGTTGTTGTTGTCGTTGTCGTTGTTGTTGTTGTTGTGGCATGAAAAGCGTAATGATAAAAACATAGTGTGGCAAATGTAATAAACATGTTGCCTGCCTCTTGATCTCCCTTCCAGTGGACGCGAGACACTTTGAATATGCAATTATGAATGCCAGGCAATGTTTACCTCATTTGAAAATTGGATAAGCCGTTTATGTGTAATGCAAAATGACTTGATTCCAGTGCAGGCAACATAATGTGTTGCACTTTTCACTCGCAGATACGGACAAAACGTTGTGGGAAACTCAAAGCCTTCGTGTTTAACTAAAGTAATGTTAGAAAGGAACTGTTGGTAGAAGAGATGGCTTATTTTGGGTACTACAAAAAAACATCAAATATAAAATAAGATATAGTAAATAATGATAAATTTTCAACCAAACTGAAATTCGAACTCGGAATTTCATAGAAGATAAATTTTGTGCAGTAATTTATTAAAATATTTAGAAAAGTATGGAAAAGCAGATTAATTTAAAAAATGACAACATTTTTAAATATAAGTATAAGTATATATATACCTAGAAAAATAGTTAATATAGATGTATTTTAAGTTCAAAAAAGTTCAAAATAATATTTGAAAAGTAGTTCAATTCAAGTTCATTATTTAAACGCCCTTTAAATTTTTAAAATCTTATTCAGTGTTTGAATATTTGAAACTTGTTAAAAATTCATCGGGCGCCCCGTAAAATTCCAACTCTTAATTGATAGTTAAAGACATATTTGTTTGGTAAGTGGTCGAATTATAGTAGGTCGAATTATATAGAAGGAAGTAGACTTATAAAAATATGCATTGATATTTTTTTAGAAGTCTTTTAGAATTACAAAGGATTGTGAAAGAACAATTTTTAGTTATTTTTTTCGAAACATTAAAAAAAAATGAGAATGTGTTGTAAAAGGCAAAGGACAGTAGTGCGTTTGATATTACTTCATAATTATATGTTATAGTACAAATTATAATTTTTGATTTAATATCAGAAAGATTTATTTTATTGACCAATTTTTTAAATTAATTTTTTTTTTATTTAATTATTATTAATTTGTGGTTGAATTTTTAAAATTATTTTCATTTTAAATTAAATTGAATGTAATTTGTTTATTTATTTTATTTTATTATTTTATTTCATTTTTTATTTTTACCAAAAATGTATAAAATTCTCAATTTTTTTGATTTTAATTCCTATATATTTTTCATTCACATTTTTGATTTTTTTAAGTTATATAGTTGTAAAATAAAAGAAATGCTTGTTTTTAGTTTTGATCACTTCGTTCTACTCGTTTTTATTGTTTACATTCATCAGCTTCATTATCAGAGTGTTTTGTTGTTGTTGTTGTTGGTGTTGTTACAGAGACAAAAAAATATTTGGTAAACTAAGTACTTTTTATAAATCCGTTTCAACAGCTTTTTACATTAAGCAAAACTATAGATAGTTGGTTGTATTAAAAACTAGATAGCAAAAAATATTACAAATAATACAATACGTTCGTTTACAAACTGACTTAAATAGGCGACTGCACGGCTGCCTCCCTTATCTATTTATATATATATATATGTATATATGTAGAGTAAACACTTAAACACTAAAACAGAAGTCTTATCACACACACAAATCAGATCTCAAATCATATCGAACCGAACCGAACCGGGTGCACAAATCGGTGGACCAGAGCAGAAGGAGGAGAAGCCGCAGCTGGAGGACAATACAGCAGCAGCAACCACACGTCAAATGTACCCAGTGTTTAGCGTTTAGCGAGCCAAGTCCAACAACACATCCAAATTTGATCCTGCTGAGGTGTCATATGGTGTACATGTTGTTCTTGTCGTTGTTGTTATGGGTCTTGTTCTTGATCTTGTTGTTCTGTGGGCTGTGCGGCCCAAATGTGTTAGTATCTTGTTCTTAAAGTCTAGGTCTAATCGTCTTCAAATTTCTCATAACAATTCTCACGGGATATTTTCGTCAACGTTTCTTGATTTGTTTTCTGTTTTTTTTTTTTTTGTTCATTGATTTTCTTTTTATGTATGGCTTAAGCTAAAAGAGAGTTCGTCGTAAAAACTAAGTAAGTTCGTTTCGTGTCACGTTTTGGTCACATTATAAAATTGTTATCAGAATCTCTATCGTTATCACGTTCTATATAGCAAAGTGTAATTGGAATGTTGGGCATTTGGGTATGATATGGAGAATATTTGGAGGGTTTTTAAAAGTTTTCTATGGTTTTTGTGATGTTAAAATTAGTTTTACTTTGTTTGTTTTTTTTGTTTCAGTTTAGCTATATATCCATTCATAACCGTTGCCGTTCATAACCGATTTTTCAATGCTGCAAAGAAAGAGTGAGAGAGAAAGAGAGAGAGAGAGAAAAAGTTCATTTCACCAATTTTAGTAACCGTGATATGAATGATAATCATGATAGTCATTAAAATCATGCTCCACCTCATGCTCATGCTCATGATGCTCCTCAATGGGTGCCGAATACGATGAATGATGATGGATGGGTTCATGATGTTGTTCCTGATGATGATAATGATGGTCCTCCTCGATGTGCTTGTGCACAAACTCTGGCTCCTTGTAGTGGATGTGCTTCTCATGAACCTCTGGCACATGCTTCTCAATGTGCACATGCACGGGCTTCTCCACCGGAATCTTGACGGGGTACGGAACGTGTTTCTCAACCTTATAGGGCACTTCCTTGATCACTGGATAGGGCTGTGGCACATGTACTTTCACCTCATAGGGCACTGGTTTCTCGACATGCACGGGCACGGGACGATCATAGGGCACATGCACGGGCACAGGCACCTTCTTGATGACGGGCACTGGCACTGGTTTGTCCACATAGTGGGGCACTGGCTTGTCCACATAGTGGGGCACTGGCTTATCGACGGGCACCTTGACTGGGTAGTGGACAATCTTCTCGACGGGATAGGGCTTGTCGACATGCACCTTCTTCTCTACATTGTAGTGAACGATTTTCTCGACTGGATAGGGTGCTGGCACATGTACTTTGACTGGGTAGTGGACCTTCTTCTCAACCGGATAGGGTGCGGGCACATTTACCTGGAGGGTTGAAAGTGTGGAGGGTTAAAAATGTCTATGCAAATCCTGAGCAGCTGTTGTCCGCTATACCTTGACGGGCACGGGGCGATCATAGGGCACATGTACGGCATAGGGTATCTTCTTTTCGACGGGATATGGCGCTGGCACTTCATAGGGCACCTTGACAATCTCCTTAACCTCATAGGGTACATGCTTGATCACGGGATATGGCTTAGGCACCTTGACTTTCACGGGCACATGCACATGCTTTTCCACGGGTACATGGACAATCTTTTCGATTGGCACGGGCACTGGCACCTTCTTGATGACCGTCAGTGTTTTCTCCTCATGTACTGGGAAATGTGGCACGTGATGGTGATGATAATCCTCGTAGTGGTGCAGACCACGTTTCGGTTTTGCGGTATCATCAGCAGCGGCCGTCTCCTCGGCCTTTGACTCCGTCGGCTCAGCTGCTGTCTTCTCAGCTGCCTCGTTCTTCTCCTCGCCAGCCTGGGCATAGCTGGTGGCCAGCAGCAGCACCAGAGCGAGCGTTGTCGCTGTACGCTGAAAGGTGGAATGGTGGAAAGTGGTTGGATAATGAGGCATAATGGGTTAAATGGCGGTTTGAGGGAATACTAAACTAAAGGTGGAATTGGAGTCGCTTTAAGCTTGATTGAAAGCTCAATCAATTGTTTTTGAATAGAAAAGAATTCTGGGATTAAATTGGATATGATGATTACATTCTTGAAACAAGCTCAAGCAAAGTACGTTTCTCAGATGGAGTACTGTATTTGTATCTTGCATTTGGATTTGCATTTTTTCGTATTCATTAAAGTTTCTGAATTAAGCATTTTGTTCTCAGTTAAGGAATTTTGTAAGTGTGATGTTTTCTCTGAGCGTATTACTTATTTAAGCATCTTGCACTTTTGTTAATCTCTGTTAATCTTATGTGTTATTTGGCGCACTTCACAACACTGCACTTGTTGATCCTCGATACATACCATCAACTTCATGTTGCTGGCGTTAAATATCCTTTGTGGGATTTTGAGTTATCCGTCGAACTGTGTACCGTTAAATGCCGCACGATCGATTCGTATTGAGATTTAAGTATATATTTTTCTTCTGAGAAGGGAATCGATATCTCGTACTCTACAAACTCTACACACGTTCCGTACCACACTACACTGTTCGATGGTTAACGGTTTAATGATGCCAACTGCAGCGCCAGCCCGAACTTTTATACTCTAACTAACACCCAAAAAGCCAAGCGAATGAATGAAACGACGACGACTGCGAGCCCGAAGTCTTACAACAACAGCAACAGCAACAGTAGCAACAACAACAATAATACTATATTATACTATAGTATAATCATAATCGCAATCGCCCCAAAACACATGCAGCGAATGGTGAATGGTTCGTGGCCAGTCGCGTCGTCGGTTTTAGCTGGTTGCTTGTTTGATTTTTTTCTTTCTTTTTGTCGGAGGCGCGAACTCGACGCGCAGCCAAGTGGCAAGCGACGCCAAAATGCAGCAATTGCAATCAGAGACCATGCGCAAGAGGTGACTTCGTTGGCAGAGGGGCTGCAGGAGGAGGCATCGCAGTTAGGCAGCTCTATGGATGCGTGCCATTTTGCGGCTTAATACCAACTACCTACAGTTGCCGTGTCTTGTTGTTGTAGTTGTTGTTGTTGCTGCTGCTGCTATTTTTGTGGTGGTTTCTCAAGTCTTGTTACAAGCGCCACACAACTAACAATAATAAACCACATATTTTGTGTGTGTAATTGAATAATGTCCAAAATACGCCAGTTGTGTCGCCTTCAAGCAGCAACCTCTTCCAGATCAGTTTTAAAAGTTTGCTTAAGTTTTAACTAATTTGGATTTTATGCCTTAATAGTTGGTTAGGAATATTCAAATATTTAATTAGAATTTGAAATTTCTTTTAAATGTCAAATGTTTTTTGTATTTTTATTGTTCTCCATACATTTTTTTTAAAATTATTTGGGTGCTTCTCACCTTAAGATTATTTTGTCTACAAACTTATATTTTTAGTGTCAGTTTTTTAAGGTCTTAATGTCTTCTATAAAATGGTTATGTTTTTAAACAACAGACATTTAATGATTTTTTTTTCAAATAATTCTCTATGGCATGATATAAGGTCAACAGAAATAAATATATTTTTTTATATATTATGTTCTGCTACGAAGGAAAACATTTTTGATTTATTTTTATTATTTATTGTTATTATTTTTATATTATTTAATCATTTATACCTACGTATATATACTTTTTTATTATAATTTTGTAATTTTTTTGTACTATTATTATTATTACATTATTAGGTGTTCACTAATTAACACTTATATGTGAGCAATTTATTTAAAATTATTAAATAGGATTTCTTGATAATATAAAAAAATATAATATACAAATAACAAGGTGCATAAAATGTCGCTTATTTCTACTTAGAAATGCAAAATATAAATACATACATAAAATGAAATGAGAAAACAATAACCTAGTTAGTTTTAAGGAGAAGACAGAGAGAGACAGAATGAGAGAGAGAAATATGTAGAGGCCGAAACGTTTCATTTTTTGCTTCTTAATTTCTACTGGGAGATAGGGTTAAAATAAACCCGAAAACAAACATTTCTTTCAATCTTAAGCATAGAGAATTATAGTTAGATATGGGTACATAGAAAAATAATAAATAGTAAATATAATAATATATAATAATAATATAGTAAATATAATAATATATAATAATAATATAGTAAATATAATAATATATAATAATAATATAGTAAATATAATAATATATAATAATAATATAGTAAATAAACGAAAATATTCGAAGATCCTATCTATTCTACACAAATTGAATATATATATAAATTGTGAGGTCGTAAATAATTTACTATATCAATTCGCCTTTAAATCTGAATAATTGCTTCTCTAAAACCACCTTATTTCCATTTCGGCTTGGGCCCTGCCTTGATGCATCACGAATGCAGCCTGTCATCTGTCATTTGGCCTAAACGACCAATTCCAATTACAGGTGTATTGCCAATTGCAGTCCTTTTACTTTCGCATTCACAGGTACATTCACTTCACCAGACCAAAGTCGGGCCCAAAAAAAAAAAAAGGAGTAATTTAAGCGCCAGCTGGCCAAAAAGGGGGAAGCATTTGTCAACAGACAGCGAGAGAGAGAGGGAGAGAGAGAGAGAGAGAGACGAGAGAGAGAGAGAGAGAGAGAGAGAGAGAGAGAGAGAGAGAGAGAGAGAGAGAGAGAGAGAGAGAGAGAGAGAGAGAGAGAGAGAGAGAGAGAGAGAGAGACAGTATGTCACTCGGTCATTTGGCTGTGTTTTGTTGTGTCATTGTGCCACATATGCCCGGATGTGTGTGTGTGTGTGTGTGTGTGTGCGGTCAGCAACCATAACCTAACCCACTGGCAACATGTTTGGGGCAGCGGCAACTTGTTTTAATTCCACATTGTGGGTCGCTGTAATTGTCGCCCCAGTTGGATGTCGCAGACGGAGTTAAAGTCTTACTTTGGTTACCTTCCTCGTTATTATGTCAATGGGTCTCACATACGATGTGAGACAAGATTGACGGACGGCGTGACTGCGAGACTGGCACAGCTGTTACGAGCGGCTCTGCTATTGATACCCTGTATATTTATTGAAAATGGGGAAATGAAGGCTATAGGATATATGCATTTAAAGTCCTTAAAACAAGGGGTATTGGTATAATAATCGTAAATGACACTGTCGTTTGTTTCTCTTGATAAATTCGGCCATTTTACTAAAAAATCGATAAATATCGATATAAATTTTTCTCGATTAATCGACTTAAATCATATACAATAATAATATAACTTCAGGTATCAACTTTGGTTTGAGTGTATGCTTGTTTAGAAATAAAGATAGAAGATATTTTATAGATCAACAATATTTTACTTTGCCTCTTCTTACCTCTGTATAAAATGTAAAGCATGACATTCATAAATCACCTTGGTTTTTTGTATATGCACACATTTGAATGTCATAGCTGTGTCCTGAAAATTATATTTGGGTCGAATAATTAACACAAGAGTTATTTGAGAATACGTTTTTCAAGTTGAATCTAAGGAAACTAAGTCTAGGTGTGATATTGTTTGTGTAAAAGTTGGAATGAGAGTGTGTACAGCTATAGGGTATTTCTAAGTCGTGCAGTCTATAATGTAGTACTCTTACTTCTTGTTGTATGTTGTTGTTGTGTGTTGCATGCAACTTTCGATTTAGTTTCATTCGCATTGCTTGCATGTCTTGCCCACATATTGTTGTTCGATATGCTTGCAACGAGTCGCAAAGAAAGAGAGAGAATGTGAGAGTGGGAGTGAGAGTGAAAGAGGCAGCTTGTGCGATTGGAGGCTGCCGTTGGACGTGCCACAGCTGCTTACGTCATAAGTTTGCAATGGGGGCGCCAAGTGTTTGTTTGTTTGCTTGTTTGTTTTTTGATAGACAGCTGCGAGTGCTTATAAGCGCCATTGTCTTAAATCCAACAGCACAATTAGACATACTTCCTTGAATTAATTACAAGCTATATGGGAGTAATACATATTATGACTATATATTATTTGATTTCCATGCATCGCATATTGCTTTTGAGTCTCTCTTACATATTTGAAAGCGTCACGCGACCTGACCTTGTCTTATATATATATGTAAACATTTTTCTCTATATGGTTAAATATAGCTTTACATAAATTATTATTATGTTTTTTGTATAGATTTGTTTAGTTTTTTTTTATAGCGCATTGTCAACAAAGGCGTCAAATCTGAGGCAGCTGTTGATTAATCATGTTTTTGAATATCTTCAACATCTTTAAATTGCATTTGCATATTCGAATTTTTCGTTGATTTGTGTAACAATTTATTGTGTTTGAAATACGATGGACGTGATTTGGCATGTTATTTGACATTCCATTTCCATTTCGTTCCAATTGTTGGCAGCTCATCCGCACAAAATGGCACCGCACGAGGCTAAACCCAGTCGAAACTGACAGTTATGACATTTTATGTGACATTTACAAAAGTCTTGGTTTTTTTTTATATTTTTTATTCTCTGTTCACCTGGGTACTGTAACGGTTTTGGTTTCGGTAGTTCCCATGTTTTTGGTTTTCTTTCTCATTTTAATGGGCGGCCACTTGAGGGTTCATTGCGTTTCTGGTCAAGGTCGTTTGCGCTCAGTTGCGGTTGTTAGCAAAGCTAACTGACTGACAAATTGCTCAAGTAATTGTCAGCTGTACTTGGTATCTTTTGGGTTGGCTTTTTGCAAGTAACTGGAAAAATAAAACAAACAAAACAACTACTTTTACACATGCTCCATAATTGCAAAATGCATTGAAAGTAACAGGCGCACAGCAAAGTCTTTGAACTTTAAGATAAGTCTGTATAATGATTCGAATATCCCCACTCAAAGTTTATAATATTTCTGCTATATTTATCTGCTAACCAAGAAACTGATGAAAACTATCTAAAAATATAAGGCTTCATTGATCTCAGAGATTATAGGAGCTTGAAATATCTTAGTTGTTACTGAACTCATATTGAACACTTAAAAGGAATTTAATAATATACTTAAGTAATAAAATTTTAGCTTCGGATTAGGCATATCATTCAAAGTTCAAGGAGTTTTAAAGCAACTTTTAAATATATACACATATGAGATTGTCAAGGAAATTTTAAACTATATATTTTACCATTCAAATATAACTCAACTTATGAAAATGATAGTGCGTTATTAGGGATATAAATTTATTTTAGGTTTGGAAATATATTTGGATTTTGTACATGTAAAAGTTCAATTTTTTTCACAAGTTGGTTTCGTGTTTATATTAGAGTTTTCGAAACTACTTGATTCGAAAACAAATTAAATGCTTTAAGCCTGCTTATGCCCTAAACAAAATGAATTTGCCGCACAGTTAACGAGCCAAGAAAAACCTGTAAGACAAATGGCCAGGTGAACCAGGTAAATTGTTAACTGCAATCGCAGCCCTTTCAATCGGCTGCCTTTACATGACATTGACGCATGTAAAAGCCCGTTCGTTGATTTGATTTGAAAGTGATAATCATCGCGCGCTCTCACTCCTTCCCTCTCTCTCTCTGCAGGTAGCCAGCGAAATGAGGTCAATGCCAAAAGCATTTGAACTCTTAGAGCGCGTCTTTAAAAGCATAAATTTGTTTATGATCATCTGCTTTGGCCATTGTGCGATTATTTTGTTGTTAACTTGGACAAATTGTCACGCGCCGTTGAATGCTGCGCCCGATTAAGCCAGCCAAGTGGGTTGGCTTTATGCATTTAATCAAGTTGCGGCTTGGCCAATTGATCTCTTCAGCTGGCAGCTGATAAATAAGGAAGTGTCCAATCGGCCATTGGCCTAATCCCACAGTCTGCCGCGAACTCAACTGCAAATCTATGCAAATTTTTGTACAAACCAAAAAAAAAACGAAAAAAAGGAGAGCCAGAAAAACCAGTCAAAAAACAATTTATTAACATAATAAGTAATTCCGCCTCTGGAGCTGGAGCCTTGCAGCAGCTGTGCGGCAGTTTTGACTATAGATAGAGGGGACTGTAGCTTTCCGGGTTGCCGCAAATGGGCGTGTCTTGACCCATTGACTTACTCGTCATGCGATTTGCATAAAAACTAGAAGATAAATTTACTTTAGATTATACAGATTGCGACTGTCCTAATTTCGTTAAGTTTACGTTTTGCCCATTTGTTGATTCGAAATGTTTTTAAATATGAACCTAGGTTTATTCCTCATTTCGTTTTTATTTTAGTCCATTTTTTTTTGGTGGGCAATCATTTTTGGACTCATAATTACAACAAAAAAACTCAGTTGGCAATCAAATGCCAAGCAATGTTGTTGTTGTTGTTGTTTCTCGCAGTGTAAATTGCGTAAATTGAATAAACATAATGCTATGTAGTCGCATCTGGCTGTACATTTTGTAAATCTAGTTGGCAGCCTTTGTTTTCGGAATTGTTTCATTTTTTGTCTGCTTCTTTTTCTTTATATTTTTGGCTGCCGCTTTTGGCCGCACTGAGGCGTAAATAAAGTTGTTTTTTTTTCTTGCTTGTAGAAGCGAGAGGCAGATGAAAAGTAAAAGGAATTTTTCTATACGAGAATATAGATGGCTGAACAGCAAAGAGATAGGGAATATGGGGTGATAGAGTATAAATAAATATATATAAAAAAATGTATAAAATATGTAAAAGTTTTCTTAAAGTAATATAGATTTCTTTTAATTAAGATATATCCTGCTGCAAACTTTATAGAAAGGAAATAGAAATAATTAAATTAAAATAAAAAATATAAATTAGCGAATATACGAGTATATTTTTATTAACCAATTGCCTTTAGAATACTATACTAACATTTTACTTTTTAATATATAATATTTTATATATATTATATTATATTATCAGTCTTAACATGTCTTGTTCCGCTTCAAAAATGTTTTTCAATGTATATTTAAAATTTATTTATAAAATACACATATATTCGAATTTATTTTGAATCGTCATCTTACCAAACAACATTTTGAACTGCCCCCGCTAGGCACAAACAAAAAAATAATATGGAGCGAACTGTAATTAGGCAGCACTAAATTGTTCGTAAATTAACAAAGGCACAAATAAAACATAATATAATTAAGCGATTGCCTAAGCAACTGCAACAAATAAATAATTTTCTGTTGGCAGCGAACGATTTTGAATAGAAGACATGGAAAACTAAAGAAAATTGCCAAATAACTCAGAATGTGTGTTAATTGTCTCATTATTTACAAAGCGTTTGCTCATAAATAAAACTAACTAATTATACGTTCATAGACGGCCATTAAATGTTTGTCTTTTCCTATGTCTACCAAACGAAAACCCATGCCAAAAAAACCTGAAAACGCAAAACAGACCAAAGACTTCCTTGCCGCAGGTTAAGCAATTGCAAATTCGCCAAAAAGGAAAAGGAAAATTGTAAAACATTAAAAATACATTTAAAATTGGCAGAAAGCTGAAACTATACGATAGGAAAACAGGCCAACGGGCCGAATTAAAAAGAAATATTACTAACAAACGTCTACAATTAAAATCGATGAAGTGGCAATGCAGCAAAATAAGTAGATTGGCTGAAAAAGAGAGCAAGAAATGAGTAACAAAAAAATATATACATTTTGCCAAATATCTTATATATTTGTGGAAAAAGGAAAAAATATATATATGTATTATATATTTGCAACTTGCAAAAAATAGAAAATAATTGCGGTTTGATTTAGAGCCAAATTAATTTTGGAAAAGAATATATTTTTCCATACAAGAGTCCACTTTCCGACCGATCATTCCTATGGCAGCTATATGATATATTGGTGAGTTTGGTCAAGTTATCTTAATACAAAATTTTACAATACTAGAATGTACTTAGCAGTCCGATCTGGCAACAAAAAGACGGACCTTTGCAGTGATTCAAGACTATAGCTTTAAAACTGGGAGACTAGTTCGCATAGAAATAGATTTGGCTATATCAAATCGGATGTTGATGCTGTTCTAGAATGAATACATCTTACACATTTTATGATAAAATTGTAATATAAAAAGCCAAGAAGATCTGTCGAAGAACATGTGTTGTGAAATTTTTAGAAGCTTTTCTTTAAAGATTAAACATTTTAAATTTCTACTGCGGATTTTAGCATCACAATTAAATATTTGATCATAACAGAATACTGCTTTAAATGCCAAGTTGTCTTGTTTTGGTGCAAACTAAAATCCATAAAAATATTAAATTAAATTAAACATAATTTTAATTAATGTATTTTAATTAATTTTTAAATTAGTTTTTTTTATTACTAAATATTACACACAAAAGTTGTATAGTTTGGCTGAGCAGTTGCCATTTTTATTTAACATTTGTTTGTTGAGTAAGTTTGATTTTATCCAATATTAAAATAACTTTAATTGAAGTTCATTTTAATTGGATTCATATATTTATTATTATCTCAAGTAGTCCTTAAACATACAGTTTTTATTTGAACTGCCCAAAAATATATATTTAACTGCCTGTAAAAAATACTCTATGATAAATGCTAATAAATTACAGCTCAGCTGGCTTCAGGCTGTCTCAGCCTGGCGCATTGCTTTGGCGGCTTGGCAGCTATTGCAACATATTTGGTAAATTTCTTTGCAACCGAAAAGTTGCTGTAAAAGAAATTGCAAGTCAATTACCGCTAGACGGTCTGCTTGGCGCCATGACGCAATCGCCACATGTGACAGCTTTGCAAGCAGCCGATGTCGGCGTCGGCGTCGACGTCGACGTCATCGCATAGCGCTAATTGATTGCGGCTGCGCGTCGCATTTGCTGCATTCACTTTGCTTTGGCTCTGGCTCTTTTGTGCTTTTGTTTTTGGGTCGTGCCATTCTCCGTTTGCCACATGCCACAGACACACACACGCACACACACATGCTGGGTTCAATTCGCGTTAGCTTAGCACAAGATCAATGTTGTGCGTTGGTCAACTGCCAACAGGTTCTTGCGGCTGCCCACGAAAAAAAAGAAACTAAAGACTTAGGCAACGAACTTGAAATTGTTGTGGTTTTCTTGTTCGACACCATTTGTCATTCCAATTAATTATACTGCATTTGGGCGTATGTATATCGCTCGATTTATTTTGCGCTTACTTTCAATGCTCTCGACTGCATTAAGTCTTGCATAATTTGTACGCTTTTCGCTTGTTGATTTTGCCCGCCACTTGGGCAAAGTTGCTCTCAAGTATTCCAGATTATGTGCAAAAGTTAACGAGTGCGTAAATGTTAGTGTGTGTGAGTGAATGTGTATGAATGTGTATATGTGTGTATAAGAAGGCAGTTCAGTTTTTTTTACTCTCGCTTTTATATTAATTGATTAGCATTAGTTGCCGGAAACTTTGGGGATTTCTTGTTGAGCTTTTCTCTATTATAAAATTGGCTAAAAGTTGTATTAAGTTTGCAAAGTTCAAACTTTAATAAACTACAAAAAAAAAAATTAACAAAAAAATGTATAAAATAATTTTGGTTGAACATAATTTGGGATGTATACGAACAATTGTATAAATATTTCATTTAATTATTCGATGAAAAAAACAGAATATGAATGATTTTTTTTATTGTAAAAATTAAAATTGGCCCAGAAAAATGTTGTAGCTTTTAAATTCGGTATACAAAATGCAAAATGGCTAATTGGGTCTTAAAAATGAATTCAAAATATGAAAGTCTTCTAGCAAGTGGAATATGAAAAATTTATTTTATTATAAAGATTGAAATTGGCCAAGCAAACTGTTCTAAGCATTTAAATTCGGTATACAAAATGCAAAAAGCTAATCAGGTTTTAAAAATATATTGACAATAAGAATGTGCATAGTCTTCTAGCTAGCGGATCCGGTTCGAAATGATATCTGTTCAGTTTTCTTCGAAAGTATTTGCTTATCTGAAGCTTTAGTTGTGGGTTGCCTATATGGATATGCAAAAGAATCGGCAGACGTTTCTGGTATGCAGCTCTCAATGAATTCATGGGTCTCGCCGTCTACGCCAAGGTTAATGGGCTTATAGCCAGGCTTGCACTCGCAGATATTAGGTGCCACACATTTTCCATAGGTGGAGCAGCTCTGCTCACAATGCGGCTCACAGGTGTAGCTCTGCTTATTGGCAGCGCGAAGCTTGATGTAGCCCGAATCGCATTCCCATTCGCCTGGACGTACGCACTTACTGTGCTCTGGCATGGCCCCCAGACAATCGGGCTGGCAGCTGCCGCTGCTGTTTGTGTAGCCCTCAACGCACTGACATAGTCCGGACGGAAGGCAGCGGCTGTTCGCAATACAACCCGCTGCACATGGTGGTTCGCAGTGTCCGGATTTGCCCTTGGCATAGCCTGCCTCACACAGACAGTGGGAGTCAGCCTCTGCACATTCGCACACCTCAGGTCGTACACAGCGGCAGTTATGGCGACAACTTTGGCTGCATTTGGGCAGGCAGAGTTCGCCAAGCGCTTTTTGTTCATAGCCATCACAGCAGTGGATCTTTAGCTCAGTTGTGGTCTTTAGGTTATAGAGTTTATATAGTTAAGGGGAAACGCTTAAAGTTGTTAACTGCTTACCACATTTTTGCTGCACACATGCAGATCATCAGCTTTAAAATTCTCCACACAATGTCCCTCTACTCCCATGTGGTAGTTGTCCTGGCACACACATTTGTTTGGTTCCTTGCAGTAGCTATTTGCACCACAGTTGGGCTGACACACGGGTTGGCAGAGCTCTTCGTCGGCTTGCTTCCCGTAACCGTCGCAGCAATATCTTTCAATTTTGGTCTATTCATTTAGGGGATCTTGGGTAATCGATATCAATACAGAAGTAATTTGCTTACTTACATACATAATGTTGGGAAATGTAAGATTTAATTTCTCAAACTCTTCTTTTAATGAATAGTACTCCGGTTGCTGTTCGCCAGTGTATGGCACTTCCCTTGTGCATAAATTCGGATCCTCAGGCAAGCAGGGATCTGCCTTACAGCAATTCTGATCGGGGTTCTCTTCGATTTCCTTGCTTTCAGTCCTAGACGCACATTCACCCGTTGGCAGCATTTCGTAGCCTTCTTTACACGGCGGATGACAGTCTCCATTTGACGACATCTTATAGCCCTCTCGACATTCACAGTGCTCTGGAGCAGAGCAGTACTTATTGGTACCACATTCCTCAGAGCAAACGGGCTGGCAATCGTCAATCGTTCCAACATATCCGGGACAGCATTCATACGCTGACTGTGTAGAGGAGGTGTTGTATAAAGTGAGAATTCTCTAGTCGAAATTGACCGACTAAAATACACCCTGTACCAAGCTGCAGTTTGCTCTACTTCCTCTTACCTGGGTACCGTACTCTCGAAGATTAATTCTTTAATAACGTCTGCCTGTATAATCTGATTAATTTGAAATTCGGCTTGAGCATAACATAGCAATGGGTATATGCACAAAATTTGAGGCAACTGCCAGAGATCAGAATGTGAAATATTCTTGACTCTGTTTTTCGTATGCTGCATTTTTCTTATAAACTGAGGAATATGCTCAAAAATCCGGGAGAGATCAGGAGAGTTATCAACAAAATGATAAACTAAATCTTATTTCAAATGATATATATTTATAGCATTACTGTTGCTGTTATATATGAATTTCATATGGGTACAGGGTATAAAAGGAATTTAATTCAACTTACTTCTTGCTTAATTGGGTTATTTATAACTGAGTCCAATTTCCTTAAACACGTATTATTATACGTGCTCTTGTTCTCCTTATGCATGACAGGCGTACAGTTAGCCGCAGCAATTAAACAAATCAAAAATATTGCACCCCGATTACTATCCATGGTGAGAGGCTTTCGTAAATAGCAAAATTCTCAACCGTCTAGCTGTAATTTTAAAACGGAATTATGATTGTTCTGCTGAATCGAGTCTACTTAAAGGCCCCACACAACAATCTTTTAATAATTACGGACTCTCTTCTGATAATGCTTATATATACATATATAAACAAATACATGTGCGTAAATAACATAACCAGCGTTATCGCGAGGTCGAGTTCAACAAATTGAACTTTATGTTCCAAGAAACTCAGCTCATTCGCCGTGTAGCATCGACTGCAACTTAAATATATATTTTTATATCCTGAACCCATTGAAAATGGGTAAAAAGGGTATAATGTATTTGTGCAAATGTATGTAACAGGCAGAAGGAAGCTTCTCCGTCCCATAAAGTATATATATTCTTGATCAGCATCAACAGCCTTGTCGATTTAGCCATGTCCGTCTGTCTGTCCGTCTGTCCGTATTCATGAACGCAAGGATCTCAGAACGTATAAGAGCTAGAGACTTAAAATTTTAGCTGTAGGTCCTCCTAGTCATGCGCAGAGCGAGTTTGTTTCCGATAATCGATAATTTGCCCCGGTTCCAAGTAATCGATTAAAATCGATATCGAAATCCTGTTTTTGAGCAATTTAGTAAATAATAAGAGCTAGAGTCACCAAACTTGACATGTAGCTTCTAGAATAGTATATACATATATGTATGTATATCAAGTATCTTTCATTTTATAGCTATCGCTACCTCTCCGTTATCAACACATGGTTATACACGAAAGAAAATTTGTATTGGCCTGCAAACACGTGAAGCAGCAAGCGCAAGTTCCAAGAATTTCTGTATACATGTAATTCTTTGAATTCTATCAATATCATTGCAACTGCGATTGTATTGTTTTCTGTGCTTCTATTTTTATTCGTTTTTTTCTCGTTAAGGCTTAATTATTGGTGTGGCTGTTGAGTAGAGGCGGCGGAAAGTAGCGCTGTCAGTTACAAATTCGAACCCTGGCGCGGAAACTATTTTATTTTGTTTGGCTGGTGTGGCTGTTACGTAGAGGCGGCAGCAAGTAATGCGGTCAGTTGCGAGTTCAAACCCTGCCAAGGAAACATTTTTTTTTTAATTTATCTTTATTACTACAAAAGCAAACGAGCGCGTTGCGCGTGCTGCATTTGGTGTATATAAGAATAAGAGGGTTTAGGGTATCCCCTAGTCGGGAGCTCCCGACTAGAACCTCTTACTTGTTACTACTTAAGTTCTTGCTACAGGGTATACCAATAAATTTGATTTAAGAGAATCACATTAAGAGTTTTGATTGGGAGGCTTGTTCGAGGCAGTGAATAATGCTTGATAAGACACTTGATAACGAATGTTTACATAGAAAAAAGCAGGTAGGCTGACATACGATCTAGGGTGACCGTAAGATGATTGTAGAAATTGTATTATGTTTTTTTTTTATTGGTCGGGCCACGTATATCTAGGGCAAAAAATAATTTCTGAACGTATTTAAAAAAAAACCAGACAGAGATTAGTCATACTCTGATTTTATTCATGCAAATTTATATGATAACAATATTTATATTTATATCTACGACAATTCTCTTTAAAAGAGCTTGCAGATAAGTACAAGTGCACATACGAAGATTAATTCAATTTTGCAACGCCGGTAGCTGAGCTTAGAACTATTCGATATGTACAGAGGCACAATCGGATTGTTGTCGATAACAGAGAAAGTTGAGCCCAGCTCATTCTGGAGCACAGTTGTCATAGTTGTCACAGTTGTCACAGTTGGCACAGTTGGCATAGTTGGCACAGGTTGGCAACCCTTATCAGCTTTAGCCGAGCGTTCGTAGCCTCCGCAGCATTCCTCGCGTGGTTCCAATTTGGTTTTTTGCTGCATATTTGATTGGTCCAATCATGAATAGAATAACGAACTAGAATATAACTATTATGTACATACAATGGTGCGCATTTCGCCTGGCACATTTAGCATCTTCAAAAGATTTGCAAACTCGCCATAGCTCTCTAGGGAAGCACGTTCCGTTACTGTGTAAGAAACTGACACATTTTTGATGCACAAATATGGATCTTTGACAGAGGTCGCCAGCTGTATGTAGAGACTGAGTAAACTCAGCACCAAAATTTTGCACATTTTCAAACCACGATGATTAGTTGAGTGTGCACAAAACTAAACTAAAATTTAGTTACACTTCCAGCTTGTAGCTGAGCTCAGTTTTTTTTATTATATATAAAATAAACTCATATCACCAAAATTTAAGCAAAAAGACGATAAATATATTTGTATAGCATACTTTAGTATATTTATTCGCTTACTCATAGGCAAGATAAAGAAGGGAGGGAATATTTTTATTACGCGATTTTTTATGAGACGAATTTTTGGAAAATATATCTATTCAAAAGCCGAATACTCCGAGCTCAGTTTTATTACCCTGAACCCATTAAAAATTAGGGAAAAAAGGTATAATGTTTTTGTGCAAATGTATGTAACAGGCAGAAGGAAGCATCTCCGACCCCATTAAGTGTATACATATATTCTTGATCAGCATCAATAGCCGAGTCGATCTAGCCATGTCCGTCTATCTGTCCGTCTGTCCGTATTCATGAACGCAAGGATCGCAGAACCTATAAGAGCTAGAGACTTGTAGAAATTGTAGCTGTAGGTCCTCTTAGTCCCAGCGCAGATCGAGTTTGTTTCCGATATTCGATAACTTGCTCCGTTTCCAAGTAATCGATAAAAATCGATATCGAAATCCTGATTTTTGAGCAATTTTGGTAAATAACAAGAGCTAGAGGCACCAAACTTGACATGTAGCTTCTAGAATAGTATATATATGTATATCAAGAATCTTTCATTTTATAGCTATCACCACCTCCCAGCTACCACCACAAAGCAATAAACCAAGTTAATAAACCAACTTGTATTGCCCACTAATTTAAGCCACAATTAATGCAATTGATAATACAATTGAGCATACACGAATATTCTATATTTTATTCTACAATAAGATGTACTGTCAAAAATTTTATTAGGTCGGTTAAGAAACACAAAAGTTATGTGCGCACGTGCTAGCATCAGCTAGCGTAAATTCCAAGAATTTCTGTATACATGTACACACACACATTCATGCGCGTCTGCTTTGAATTCTATCAACAGCATTGCAATTGCGATTGTATTGTTTTCTGTGTTGCTATTTTAATTGGTTTTTTTCTCATTAAAACTCAATTATTAGTGTGGCTCTTGAGTAGAGGCGGCGGCAAGTGGTGCGGTTAGTTGCGAGTTCGAGCCCTGCTAAGGGGACAATTTTTTTTTATTTTAATTTTACTTTATCACTACTAAAGCAAACGAGCGCGTAGCGCGATCTGCATCGGGGTTGGAAGAAGAGGGTTCAGGGTATCCCCTAGTCAGGAGCTCCCGACTAGAACCTCTTACTTGTTTAATTATATATTAAATAAACTTCATATCACCAAAATGTAAGCAGAGAGACGATAAAGATATTTGTATAGTATACTTTAGTAAATTTATACGCTTAATTATATTCGTATAGGCAAGATAAAGAAGGCGGGAAATATTTTTTATATGACGAATTTTTGGAAAATATATATATTCAAATGCCGAATACTCTAAAGTTCATTAAAAGTTTTATTAAAGTTCACTTATTCAATCTCTTTAACACATATATAATTTGTCACTTATTCGGAAAACAGAGCTGCGCGTACTTCAAGTTCATTGCCGTCATGCTTTCTCTTATCTCTTCTTTGCTTTATAGAGTAGATACTATATATTGTTACTCCCAGGGCTATTAAGATCAATGTGAGTACAGTGCCGTATATAAGCCAGGGCTTAGGGTTAAACGGCTGTTTGTCCGAGGAAACCGATAAGCTTTCATCCGTTCTGGGCACAGGCACAGTTGAGCTTCCGGTGAACTCTGTGTAGATCTCTGTTGTCGTCGACACGGGTTGGCAGCTATTATCGTTGGCTCTTAGATAGCCCGGACAGCATACTGGACGGGGCTCCAATCTTGTCTTGGTCTGTATAATATGACGTTAGATCATTAGCTTACAAATCTTATCGGCTGCTTCTTCGTGAACTCACCACTCTACGCATTGATCCCCGAATGCCCGCCCGCCTAAAGTAGTCGGCAAATAAACCATATTCCCGCAACGGTGTTTGCTCCATTAACGTATAGAGGACTACCGCATATTCTGTGCACAGATGTGAATCGCTTGCTTGGTATATTTGTGTAGTATGTGAATCTTCAGTTTGATGGTGTTCATAATCTTCAGTTTGAAGCAGCGCATTTGGCAGCAGGCTGAGCACAGATATTAACACAAATTTCCACATTCTGGCCTCAAAATGTGGTTTCCGTTAAATACGAACTTTACTGCAACGCGCTTAGAACACAACTGAATATCGTTGCTTGCCGGAAGATGATAAATTTAAATATATCACAATTATAAGTTTGAGAAATATAATAAAATAGCACTTATTGCTCGGCTTTGCCCGGGACATGCTTTCGCTTAACCAATCACTTTTCTTCTATTTGTATCCAGCTCGGGCATGAATCTTTACTTTTATCTACTTTTTTGGAAGAATAAATAAATATTATATTTTCTCTTCGAATAGGTTGCATAGTTTTCGGCTCAAAGATTGGAAAATGTGCTTTACATCTGTAATATATATAAATTTTTTGGCATACTTTGTGCACCTATCTTGCAGGCAAATACAAATAAAGCTTAGCTTGCATTAAAGCATTGGCGTACAGTGGTAACAAAAATAAAAGCTTACACAACTTTTAACTCAAGACAAGTCTTTTTGAGCTTATAAGCGCATTTAAAGCTTATGAGTTGACTATATAAATGTGCAATACGTTGAAAAGCTTTGACATGCGACCTTTGTAGAGGGTATTATAATTTTGTCATGAAATGTGTACCGCATAGCAGGAGACATCTGCGACCCCATAAAGTCTATATAAGTATATATTCTAGATCAGCATCAACAGCCGAGCTTACATAGTCTGACCCCTATATCATATAGCATAAAGGAACGATCGAACTAATATGGAAAAATACTCTGTTTTCCAAGATATTTTCATCAAATTCAGAATTTATGAGCTTCACTAAAGCAAATGTCTACAAGTGTATTTCTCGCTAATTATTTTTATAAAATATAAGTGACAGCTTTATAAAATTAATTTAAAAATTTACTAACTACAAATTATTATCAATTTTAAAGCCTAAATTCAACAGGATATATTTTGAATAAGTGTTTAATTGCTAGGACTTTATATTGAAAAAATGTTGTATTAATTTTGTATATATCTTTTTCCAAAAATTGCATGTCATGTGACTATATATCGGGGGTTCTCTAGCCGATCCAGTTTAGCAACAAGTTTTTCTACCTACCTCTATGAACCTTTTTTTAACCCATTTTTAATATTACATCGAGTATTATCAAACCTAATAATAAAAATTCACAATTTAGACCAAGTGAAGTTGGTAGGCTGCCCTAAGATATATCTCAGTAGTAACTCTGGAAGATTGTAATTATATATTTTGGGCAAGCTGTTATAATTTCTTAAATCGAAGTATGCTTGATGTAATAAATTGATGATATTTAAAGGCTGATTTTATTGATAAATCTATTAAAAATATTCATCAGCAATTTTATTTTATCTTTTTCAAATAAAAATCAAATTTTTGTTTTAAATTCTTTTTATTTACATTATTTAAATATGTACAAAAATTTCATAGAATAGAAATTAACGGGACAAAGTCGAAGAAGCAACTGGTTTTAGGTGTTTTCTTTTGTTGTTGTTGTTTGTTTGTTTGTTTTTCCTGTCTAGAAAGAACTGTACATAAGAGGAGGCGGGTGACACAATACGGGACAAACGGGACAAACGAATGCGACTTTGATTTGTTTCTTTTGTTTTTCTTAAGGGGGCAGTAGCTGGCAAGTTTCCAGAGTGTTCCGTCCTGGGAACCACTCATCGAAATGCCGCATTTGATGATCTTCCCGTTGAACGATTGTTGCTTCCTCCTAGAATTTCGGTTGGTATCACAAACTAAAACTAAATGTAAGTCGTACTTTGAGGGTTGCGGGTTGGGGGTAATTCCAGTTGGGTTTTGTTCTTCATGTGGATATTGGAAAATTTCGACATTGATGTTGATGCGTACTCCTTTACCCGAATTCATAAGCTGATTTGGCCCTCGTTAGCGATAAATTGATCTACTTTTTGTGGAGGTAACCGCCGTGTCCGGAGACGCCGTACGAGGAGACACCGTGGCCAGAGATGCCATGGCCAGAGATGCCATGGCCAGAGATGCCGTGACCGGAGATGATGCCATGACCGCCATAAGAGGAGATGCCATGGCCGACAGCAATGCCGGGTCCAGAGACACCTTGAGCAGAGATGCCGGAGTAACCGCTAGCAATTGGTGCGCTGACAATGGGTGCACCCTCGGTCCTGGTGACGGTATGGGTGACAGTGATGGCGGGCTGGACATGGCTCTCAACGTGCACATTGACGGGCACTTTCACCTGGTAGGGCACTGGGCGATCCACATGGACGGGCACCTTCTGGATGACGCGCTTCTCAACGGTATAGGGCACTGGCTTCTCAACGGGCACGGGGTATGGCTTGGGCACGTGCACGGTGTAGGGACGATCGACTGGGATCTTGACTGGCACCTTCACAATCTTCTCAACTGGGTAGGGCTGTGGCACATGGACGGGCACCTTAACGATCTCCTTCACGGGATACTGGACAACCTTCTCCACGGGGTAGGGCTGTGGCACGGGCACCTTGACGGGATAGGTGACGGTCTTCTCAACGGGATAGGGCACATGACGCTCCACCTGGTAGGGGACCTGGACGGTTCTCACCACGGTGTTGGTGTGCACTTGTGTGGGCAGCTGAGAGACAACTCCTCCACCAATGGCACCACCTCCAGTGCTCAGAATGGCACCGCCACCAAGACCGGAGGCACCATAGCTGGAGCCGCCATAGCTGCCGCCGCCATAGCTGCCGCCGCCATAGCTGCCGCCGCCATAGCTGGAGCCGCCATAGCCATAGCCGGAATAGCCAATACCGCGTTTCTCCTGCTTCTTCTCAGCCGTCGCGCTGGCCTCAGCGGGCTCAGCGGCCTCAACTTTCTTGGGTGCCTCCTCGCTGGCGGTGGCCGCCAACACGCACATAGCCAACAGGCCAAAAACGAGCTGCAATTCAAAGTGTGACCAAAGTGGGTTAGCCGTGTTAATCGTTCGATGGCTCGATCGTTACAACTATTATGCTATTATATAACTTGGCGGCACTTCCGCCAGCCGCCACTCCAATAATAATTTCAAATATGACAATTATGCAATCTGCCAAATGCGTTTGGCTGCGCGCCAAGTTCAATGGTAGCTCCATTCATTGGCCACGCGGCGCATACGTAATGTGCCAGAACTTGCGCAGTGCGTAGCAAGCGGCGTATGCGTAATTTTTGTTATGCGCTAACATGAAAGTTTTTTCTCATTAAGCTATATTTGTGGCTACTCTTACAAATTAAACTAGGAAAGTAGTAAATGTTAGCTTTGGTGTCAAGAGCTCTTTAAAAAACTTTTTTTTACTGTATATATTTCGTTAGATCTTGAACCAAAAACCGAGATTCTTGACTCAAATAAATATATTCTAATATTTCCAATAGTTCTATACCCTATTTTCAAAATATTTATTTCGAATACTTTCAAAAATCTTATATAAAACATTTTCCGAATATTTAAAATATTTTTATATTCAAAAAAGAAGATTTTTTAAAGTAAATTCTAATTTAATTACTTTTTGACAAACATGAACTGCCTTGATATTTACAAGAAAACTCTAGAATTTACTGCATATTTAAATTGCCTACTATTTATCAAGCTAAAAGCTTCTCATATAAAGATATATTCTAGGTTTTATTTTTTACATTTGCCTTTTGTTTTTAATTAGATAAAGTTATTGCATGCAGCTCATAAAGATATTTCTAGAGATTTCTTTAAATTCTATATTTTTTTTAAGTACACTTGATGGACAAAATTATAGTTTTTTGAGGCACGAAGAATGTCCATTGCATAGCGAGATGATAGTCAGATATAGTTATGATGATATAATGCAGACACTTGAAGAACTTTTAACTTGAATCGCTTTTAGCTGATTGGTTTGCTTTAGATTTATTTTTTGTAGTACGCTTGAACACAACATACCATGGATTTCATTTTGCACTTTGTTTTAACTTCTAGACAGGCGCACTCAACTTTTGCCGGGGTTTGTATGTCTCAACCAACCCGCAACTGTTAACTGAATAATTTTGCACAGACATTGCGAGCTTTTATATGCCAATGCCGACCATGGTTGATGCTCTTGGTGGTGTCTGTCGACGTCGATCTTTGACGCAGCCACCAGCCACCAGCCAGCAGCAGCAGCAGCAGCCCAAAAGCTCGCTCAGTCTCTCGCTCGCTCTCTCTCTCTCTCTCTCACTCGGCCTCTCTGTTTTAGTATCTCACTGTGCGTAAGGAAATGTTGTGTGCCAAAAAAGCTTTCAGTTCACACGGACACTGTACGTGTACATATGAGCAATGCGTGTGAGCTGCCCTGCGTGTGTGTTAGTGCCTGTCTGTGTGACTTGACAGCAGTCAGCAGCTCGGCTAACCGTTAATGGAACCAAGTACTTAGTAGACAACTGGGGGCACTAGATAGTAAAAAAAGTTCCACAGCGTACGTGTTGTTAAACTCTAGTGTTGAAAAAGCTAGACTTTCGAAAGTTAAATCTAATTTCGATTTTAAAATATTCAAATTTAAAAAACAAAAAATGCAAACAAAATTAACAAAAAAAATGAATTTAAAAAAATAGCATAAACAGAAAATCAAATTTAAAAGTATAAACAAAATAAAACAAAGAATTCGTAATGTAAAAAAAAATTAATTCAAATAAGATTTAATTGCGTTTTATTATCACAATTAAAAAATGTATTCTTAAATTTAAAAAAAAAACAAAGCAATGAATTAAAATGAAAAATCAATAAAATGAAACAATATATAATATTAAATTAAAGATAAAATATAAAAAACTGGATAAAATGAAAAAATATATAAAAACAAACAAATACCTAATATTATATTAAAGATGAAAAAATAAACAGCTGAATCAATATAAAAACTCCTAATTACTGATTCCTTTTACTGGACTCAATTAGATTATTTAATTAAGAACTTCCAATTACTGATTTATACTATTGGATAAAATTGTCATTAGAAATTTTTTAAATTGCTAATTAAACTTGCAATTGAAAGTTACGATGCATTATATGCTCAAAAATGAATCAATATTACACGGTATCTGAAAAAAATGTTTTTATAAACTCGCGTTTAAGAATACTTTTGAGTATAGACTTTTCGAAAATGTGATATTGTTTTTTCTTCTTTAAAAACATTTAATTAAATGAATTACTATACATCTTTTTGTGGACTGAATTTAAAATTTGCATAATTTATAATTCTTATTATATTTTAATATACAAAATTAGAACGGAAATATACAAAAATTGAGTAGAAAGTGTTATTAAACAATAAAATATTTGCTCGAAGAACAATAAGCATCTCCTTTCACTTTTTTTTATATAGTGTCATAATGGGATAGCGTAATTATTGGCAGAAAATTAAAAAAAATTCTACTAAAATCACGATACAAGAAACCTTTGCCTCTTTGCCCGAAAGGCTAAATGTGCATTAGCCACACACTTTGCTATTTGGCGCTGAACGAATTCAGTTGCATTTTCCACAAGCCAAGTAAATTTTCTTGTGTAATTTTTCCGAAAAAAAAAAACATGCGCCACTCGGTCTGCGAGTTCTACTTGGCTTGGGTTCGGTTGGGGCTTCGTGACTGAACTTTTGATCTTACAGATTTTCGGTAAAGTAAATTTGTATTGTGGGTGCAATGATTGAATGTTTGCTGTGTGTGTATGTGTGTGTAATTTGACATTTTAATGTGCATAGGAAATACTCACAGCGTGTATATGTGTATAGCTTAATCAATGGGCACTACCATTCGAATCGGCCAATGGCCATGTAAATGGAACGTGTGAACAATGAGCGGAGGGCAGAACACAAACATTAGATATATAAATATATATATTTCATTAGATCTGATTGTGGTCTGTTATAATGCTGTGCATTGTAATGTGCAGTGTGAAGGCGAAGGTCGTACGCTGTCATCAGCATCAGCATTATCATTATCATTAGCATTAGGCAGAGTTTGAACCACATTATCGTACACAACTCAAATGCGGCCTTTGTTGTTCGCTTCGTTTCTGTGGCCACCACAAAGAACGCTGCAACGCGCAGATGACCCCAAAAACAACCATTGAAACTATCAAAAGAAACAAGAAGCATCAGTTAAAAGAAAAAACTAAACTGTAGATTGTAGATGTCTTAAATAATAATAATAAACAAGCAAAGTGAAGGGAAACATAGCGGTTAAGGCCCAACATTAAATCCAAGTTCAAGTTTATGTGCGTTCGCAGCTTCTTCTTGTTATATTTACAATCTGATCTCTTTTTTTAGTTAACTTTCATTTCGTACGCGAGCCAACATATTGGTAAATATCACCAAAAACACAAACCGAACATTCTAGTTTAATAAAAATAAGAAATTAAAAACAAAAAAAAAAGGAAATAACAAAATATAATAAAAAATCCCCAAAAAAAATTATGCAAATTTTAGTTTTATATATATAATCTAGAGTTTGCCAGCTAATGCATTTCTGTATAGCTCAAATGCTAACACGCCCATGAAAAAAGAAAAACAATGAAAAAAACAATAAATTTTGCGATCGCATAACAAATGCAATGAATATTGACAAAAGGCTGACAATCAAATTAACAAAACTTTTTTATTTTTAAAAATATTTTGTATTTTGCAAATGTTTTTTTTTTCGTTCTTTTTGGTTTTTTGCTTGAGTTTTTATTTATGTTCAAGTTAAATTTATGGAGATTCTAATGACGTCTATCGGATTATGCAAACATCCAATTATGTATGTAGTCAGGCTCTGTCCAAATGCAGAGCACGGCATTTGCATAAAATATCAACGGGCCATTAGCTAATCAAAGTTAGATTCATATTATATTCGGCATATGTTGTTAAGATCTGAGAAAAAGTTGTCTACTTCCAAACGTTGTTTATAATTAATGCCCGACGGCGGCGTTAAGGTGAACCAGTTCTAAAGACAAACAAATTTAATGTTATAAAAAATGATTTTGTTTTTATTTTTTTTTAATTTTCGTTTTTGTTTTAATTTTATACTCAATATTTGGCCCGTTGTTAGCTTCAGCATTTCTTTATGTAGAATTTCTTGGTGTTTGCTTCATATAAATTTAAACATTTTGGCAGATGTATTATATAACATGATATTCGAAATGCAAATGAAATGAACAATGAACGGCGCAGGTGTTTCATACTTACTTGCTTGCTCTTCTATTCTTCTTTTTATATAATAACGATTTATTGTTTTAATTTATCGATTCGAATTTGACAATAAAAAATAATATTCCTAAGACAATCTGTACAGAGTTTAACGGAATCAAGGATTACAATAACATACGATAATCCGTAGCGATTTAAGAAATTAAGGATAATTGGGTATAGTTTTGCCCCAAAATATATATGTACGGGTTTTTTTCGCTTGTGTGTTAGTAGCTAGTTTAAAGATGTTATATAATCTCTAAAGTCTTTGCACATTACGTGCAGCATTTATTATTTGGCATACAAGGCATTACTTAGCTTCGTATAAAAGCACTTAACGTGTTTTACGTTTTCGTGGTCCCATAAATTGTTTACCAAAAAAATGTACTCATTGTGCATTGAAAGGTAATTAAAAGTGTTATGATACGCTGTAAAATATGTATCGATATGTTCGATATTGATGTGCTGCAATATATTTAGCGATATGTTCGATAAGTCGAATATTAATTAAAGCATACAGATTAGTTCAACAAAATATTTTAAAAGCGAATTGAATATATTTTAAAATTAATAAATTCTAAAATTCCTAAATAACTTGTTGCTCAATATGTGATATATTTATTTTGTATGCTTGATATTTTTTTAAACGTTCTGAAATAGGGTATCCAAGTCGCGTGTGGCATTAAAGTCAAAATATATTTATTGCTTGTGCTAAGTCTTCTTTAACATTATTTAAAATGCTAAGTTTGCATACTTTAGAGGAGTAAAAAATGTGGCTTTAATTTGGACATCAGCGATTTATTGGCTTTGGCAAAGCATTTGTCATTTGCCATTTAATCGAGGAGTCGGGCAATTTTTTGTTTATATACATATACATATGCAGTAGGTCTATAATTTGTGGGCAATCGCTCAATGCATTGCTCTACTTTTAAGATGCTTCGCATTTGTCAATCGTTTGGCATTTTTTTGTACAATATTTTTTTTTGTTTTTGCCTCATTTTGTTGCATTTCTGCCGCATGTTTTGAACTTTGCAATCGATTCGGCGTTTGTTGGACTCAAAATGCCGAACATGTTGTGCACTGGCACAATCGTGGAACAATGTTGAAAGTTGATTAATTTAACTCTTAAGCTAAGCTTGTGTTATTTTTTTTCTTGTTACCAACTAATTGCAGCTAAATGGCACTCAAGTTGTTTCTACAATCGAGGTGTGAGGAAGAGAAAATATTATTAATATTTAAGCATGCTATAAATTCAACTTAATTTAACAACATAATTTAAGCTTAAAGTGGGGTTTTTTCTTTCAAAGAAACTCGTGTTGAGTGTAAACACTGTCGAGCAAAATGTTGCTCTTTAACCTAAGCTCTTAAGTTTGGCATGGATTAGTACATGTGCCAGGGTCATTTCTTTAATCAGTTTAAAGAGATCGGTAAAATTTATGTTCAAAAATTAAAAGACATCCGCGACACAATTTGGCCTAAATTTCAGTTAGTGCTGGACTGGCCAAGTTTTCTTTGGTAAGCGCGCATTTCGTGCCCGTTCGAGTCAGAGTTAAGATTGTGTCGAGGTTAGTTGAGGTAGGTACGGATAGTATTTGTCAATTCGACTGTGCAGGCCCGTAGCAAGTCTCGAGACAATCGTGCAAAACCTTCGACATTTAATTTGGACACATTTTGAACTGTGCACGTTTAGTGGCCTGAAAAGAGTTGTTGTTTACATCAAACAGCAACAACAACTTGTACAGTTTATTTTTTTTTTTTACAACTACAGTTTCCAAGCACTTTTTATTATCATTTTTGATAATTGCGCGAAGAGGTCACGCGAGTAAAATTTGGTTTAATTTCATTTCATTGTTGC